TAACACACCTGTGCTGCCTATAGGGAACCACCTGCTTGCTCCAAACTTAGTTCTCTGCTCTTCATCCACTTTAAGAACCTCCAGAAAGATCCCAGGCAGCACCTAGTCCACTCCAGGGCAGAGAATCAAGTCTGCATTTCAAGTTTCAGCGCCTGCTCCACTTCAGGGATATTTTACCATGCCCTATTGCATTTGGGTTGTTAAATTAGACAATTGGGACAGATGCCTGTTCAACAAACAACTTTAAATAAGGAAGATTCTTCCAGGAGAGGAGACAGGGCTGTCTACACCCTTGTCTTTGAGATTTAAGTCTAATCACTCAAACCTAGCAATTAAACAGTATAATCGGGGCAGGTATTACAAGGAGTGTCAGCAAACCCAAGCTCATCAGAGCCACTCTGTGCTGCTGATTTATATCTCCTAATTAACTCTGCCAAGAAACTACATATAACTACATAAGGCAGAAGGGTAAAATAGCTCCTTTTATGCTCGTTAAACAGAAATGCTTTGTGAAGCCTACAAGCATTTTTTTTTTTTCCCATTTATGTGTTTGTCATCATTCTTAGGACAAAAGGCAAAAGTAGCCTCCATTCAGAACATCTCCTTAAACTACAAAAAAAATGTATCTGGAGATAACTCCATGTTTTATCTAAGACTATCTTCTACCCAAAACTTAAAAAAAAAAAAAAAGAATAGAATGGCTGTCTAACCAAATGTATTAATATTCTCTTTCAGTGAGATTATTTACAAACGCGTAATAAAGTTAACCGTTTAATATGCTTGTGTTAATCCAGAGCCCAAGTAGGAAGGTGATGAGGAAAATGTGGACTTTGAGGTCAGACACCTAGCCCTGCTATTCTGTATTTTTAACCTCTGGAAGCTTTAGGGTCCTTATTTTGTAGGTGAGGACAGGCCTACAGCATGAAACAAAGCACTAAATAAGATCAAAGGTAAAGCACTAATAGCAGAACCTGGCTCACTGTCAGCCCTAGATAACAGTGGCGCTAATGTGCTCCACATTTTACATAGCTGTATTGGTTAAGCACTTACTATGCGCCAGGCAGTGTTCATTTAATCCTCACAATAACCTCATGATCTAGTTAGTATTGTTAGCCCCATTTTACAGATGAGGAAACTGTGGTGTCAATAAATTAAGTAAGAAATACTGTTACTTAATATTTGCCCAATGTCACACACTTGGTAAGTGGCAGAGGTGGGTTGAGCCCATGGCCACAAGCTCTCTGCTATACAGTCTTTCATTATCATTGCTGCCGTTGTTTTATTTGTATCTGCTTTACTTCTTAGATTTCACCTTTTTTGTCATTTTTAATTTATAATTTCATGGAACATGGATATGATGGAAAATTCCATTTGAGAAAGAGCAACTGAATGTTCTTAACTAGAAAGATTATAGAATTGGCAAAAATATAAAGTTAAAATTAATTAATTAAAGTTAGTTAAAAGTTAAAATTAAAAGTTAAAATTAAAAGTTTAAAATTAAAATTAAAAGTTAAAAGTAAAAAGATTTTAAAACACTATAGAATTTTGTATGCACTAGAATTACACATTTAAAATGTTTTTTTTAAAAAGGCAATTCAATTTCCTTTTACTTTTAAAATATTCATGATGAATAAAATTCATATTTTAAAAATAACTTTAAAATACAACATTAGCAGATAAGCATAAGAAAAAATGCTCAATAAAACTAGTCATTACAGAAATGCAAATTAAAACAACGAAATATCTGCATATACCTTTTAGAATGGCAAAAAAAATTTTTTTAAATAGTAACTTTTAAAAAAATAACTGACAATATCTGAAATAACTAGAACACATCCATTGTTGGTGGGGGTAAGACAGCTACATGTTTGAATATAGACTTTATCACTAACAAGACATGTGATTCCCTAACACTGGATCACTTACTCTCCTAGAATGAACTGAGTTTGATCTCTGTGCCAGAGATCACTATTCACTGCCGCTGATCACTATTATCTATTCACTGCCGCTCAGCTCCAAATTCAGCCTTCAGTACGTTCTCTGTGACAATCAGCAGAATTCCTTTAAGCATTCCTCCTAGGACTGAGTATGATGGTGAGATTTCTCAGTAGGGGAAGCTGGAGGCACACTTCAGGAATCAGGGCCTCTCCAGACGGTTCTGGTAGCTTCCCTTGTTCAAGTTCAAGTGATGGCATCAGGAGTACGCTGCCCTAACCATGTGCCCAGAATTTGTGGTCCCTCAGCCCTCACCTAGCCTGTGATCATCGTCCTGCTGCCCTTCCAACATGGACACTGTGCCCTGAGGCTCAGCTCCACCTGCTAGTCTACCTCCTCCAGAAGTTTGTTTCCTGCAGTCCTCCCAACAAGTACTCCAGGGCATCTGTCCACAGTGGTGCCCTGCCTCCCTCTGTGTGCCTGTTCATTGGCTAGAATTTCCCTGCACCCTAGAGGACTGTTCTCCGCTTTCCCAGTGACCAGCTCTAGCCCTGGCAACCCAGCAGACGTCTCCATTGTGCTGTGGGCTGCAGCTATGCCTTCTCCAGTAAGGTCTGATCCATGAGCTTTGGGGAGGGGGTCCCCTTTCCAAGTTTGTCCTTCCTTGGTTATTCTCACTCAGCTTTAAGGCACCCTACAGAGTTCTTTAAAAATCTTATAGTTATCCTTCCATCATAGCTTAATAATTCTTTATATTAAAATTCTCCTGTTTAAATCACTGTATGGTTTCTGTCTCCTGATTGGACCCTGACTGATATGTGTACATTGTTTTATTCTTTGTATTCATGGATAATATTTGCTAATAGCACATCTTCAATTGTTGTTATTTTCCTTCTAGTTTTATTGTAGTATTATGGTTAAAGAATGTGGTCTATACAATTCCTACTTACTGGAATTTATTGATAATACACGGTCAACTTTTTAAAAGTATTTTTCAGAAAACTGAAAAGAAGGTGCAGTCTCTATTTTCAGAGTACAAAGATGAATATACTTCTATTAGATAAATGTTATTAAAATATTCATATCCTACATACCAAAGGGTCAACACACATTTTCTGTAAAGAGCCAAAAAATAAAAAATATAGGCTTGCACACTCTATGATCTCTGTTGTAACTACTCAACCGTGCTATTTAGGTGCAAAAGCAGCCATAGATAATATGTAAATGAATTGTGCATATGTTGTGTTTCAGTAAAACTTTATTTACAAAAATAACCAGTTGGCCAGATTTAGCCCATAGGCCACAGTTTACCAATCCCTGCTCCATAGCATGATTTTTATCTACTTAATCTGGCAAGCAATGAGAAAGCTATGTTAAATTTCTCAATACCAGCATGTTTCTTGGATTTCTCCCAGTATGTTTTCTGTCCTCTGTTTATATAGTTCCACACTCTGATATGTGATTCAAAAAGATTCATAGCAGTTACATCTTCCTGTGGATTTTATTCTTTACCATTATAGAATCCTTCTCCTTGGCCTGCTGAAGGATTTTTGCATTAAACCTTACACCTAATATAAGAAAACATTTAGAAAGAAAATATAAAGACCAATGATAAGTTTTAACAGTGAGTCTGATTAGAATAAATTCACCTATTAAAGAAAACAAATCTTAGAAGGTGGCAAACACCAAAACCTTGTCTACAAGATGTACATGCAAAATGGAGTGTCCTAAATGTTTTATCCATAATGGATTTTTCATCTGTCTTTCTTAAGCTATTTTTTTTTCACTTTTTTGCCTTGGTTTTAAAATTCTTCTTCCTTTTCCCTCTTTGCTTCGTTTTCTTTCCTTTTATTAGGGTTTTTTTGGTTCTTTTCCTTTTCCTTAAGGGTTGGGTTGCTTTTTTTGTTTTTTCTTTTTTTTTCCCGGGGGCTTTTTTCTTGCCTTTTCCCGGCAGGGGGGCGGGTTTTCGGGCCCCGGCCTTTTTGCGTTGGGTTGGGTCGTTTGGTTTTGTTTTTTGCTTTTTACTTTGTTGCAAGTTTCCCCCCCAAGGCCCTTTCCCTTTTTTCGGGGGCTTTTCCGTTTCCTTGGGTTTTGGGTTTGTTGCTTCCTTTCCTTTTGGGCCTTTTGGTTCTTTTTTTTTGCTTCTTTTTTGCTTTCCTTGTTTTTTTTTATTTTACTTCGGTTTTGTTTGTTTTTCCCCCCTTTTTCTTTCTCTCTCATTTGAACCAAACCATTACTTGCTGAATATAATGAAGTCTATATAATTATTTATCTAAACTGCATTTGTCTTCTTTTGAGCCACAGGGTAGGAAAAGCCAAATCCTAGCAGTCTTTACAGAACTAAAAAGCTGTCCACCTGCCTCTGTGAGGAGGGTTGGAGGCATCAGTAATACACTTCCCCGGGTTACCTGCATGCCTAGTTCTTGTAGCCACAAATATGGAGAGGTTCTCATGACACTTACTGAGTTTCTCAACTGACCCCACTGGCCGAGCTTGGTCCAAGGATGGGCGCCATGTGTCTACACAGTGGGCCTTCTTTAAGTTTTGTTAAAACTATTTAGTTCATACAAACTCCAAATTTCTTTTGGACTCTTTTCACCTATTCAGTGGTCTTGTATAGTCTTACCTGTTTTTATTTAATTTCACTTATTCCATTTCATTTCTGCTGAGTCTAAGGAGTATGCCCTGGGTCTGGGCCTGTGCTTTCACATTTCTGGGGAGTCCTGTGTGCCGAATATAACTCTAAAATATCTTTCGGAAAAGGAATTGATTCCCATGACGATTTCTTCTTCCTTCTTGAAATTCATTTGTTGAGTGTTTTTAACCTCATGGTCGTTAAGGAATTAGATTTGAGATTCTGCCTTACTTAAACATCGATGTAAATGAATGATAAGCCACACCTGGTTTTAATATAAAGTAGAAATTTAGCATTTCCAGGCCATCTTCTGAAATTTCTTTTGAAGGCGATGAAAATAACATAGAAACTCAAGATATCATGAAATCCAAATAAAATTACTTCTACCTCAGTAATGTTCTGAAAGACACACACACAGGTGAGCCCTTACCAGCGGGATGAGCAGGCTAATGAGGTCTGTCAGAGGTTTGCTGAGCAGCAGCAGGTCTTCTGCGGCCTGAGTGTCCCCTCTTGAGCCAGACTTCTGGGCCTGAACCAGGGGAAAGAGAAATGAAAGTGGGTTTCAGTGACTCGACAGCCTGACTGCAGGGGATGGGTCCACTTGGTCTAGCACATGAAAGGGGCTGAGGGCGTATTCCACGTCCCTGCCTCTGAGCACGGGACAGAGGCCCCAGAAAAGACATTATGCTTTGTTATAATACAGCAAAGAGGGTACACACATTGCCACTGCCACCAGCTCAGGCTACACTGGCAGACCTGGACAGCACATAGATCCGGCAACAGCAAGGGCTGTCGCTGGAGGAATGATGGTGATGTTTCGCGTCCCGCAGGGGGTAAGCGCTTCCTCTTTCCAACTGTCCCGAGACTAGGTGCTGCTATCCCCATTTTTCAGGCGAGAAGACTGAAGTTTAGAAAAGCTAAGTAGTTTGTCTAAAATCCCACAGATAATGAGTGTCAAAGCCAGAGGACAAACCCAGGCCATCTGACACCAAGTCACAAATGCTAATCTCATCTGGGCATTTTAATGCACATTGTATGATAAATACTGAATGCATGCTGCTATGCTTCCATCCTGTATGTGCATGCACATGCTCAGATAACATCTAGAATATTTGTCCAATGCATCCCTGCATGAATAGGCTTTCAATATGGGTCCATGTTCCTTAGAATGCATAAGCTTAAAAAAAAGAAAAAAAAGAATGCGTAGGCTTAACCTGCAATGAAAGTAATAAATGAGCAAGTGATTTTTACTTTAAGTGTGTCTTCTCCTAGGAGTTTTACAGAACTATCTAATTCCAAAGGAGTTGAATCGAAATGAGTAATTTTACACTGAAAATGGTACTGATTATTTTGTTTGCTACAATATGCATACTACAGTATATACACATTTCACTCACACCTTTCTTTTCTCTTTTTATTTCTACTCATAAGAGACAAAACCACTTTCAGATAATGACCTTTGCTGGGGGCCAACAGAGCAGGCTGCAGGCTGCCTGGCCGTGGGTCGTTAACCTGGACTCCAGGGTCCTTCTCATAAATGCCTAGCTTCCTTCTGCACTTCTGGCCTATGGACAGAATTTCAATTGCCTGCATTCTCTGGTTCAGAAGGACTTGATTGAAAATCAGATGCCTGCCTTTTAACAACTGGCACCTCTCTATAGCTAAAAGGAACAATGGCAATCATTAGCTTGGAGTTCCCATTCCCCCTACCTCCCTGACTGACTGTTATCAGAGACGTGGAATTTCCTCCCAGAAAACAAATGTGCAGCACTATCCTAGAGCCTGAACCTTTCTGAATCTTGGCTGTTGATCCCCTGCCCTCTGAAGCACAATCGAACATGGAATATCAGCCTTTTCACATTAACACATTCACCTTTAGAGTGGATGGATTCCCTCTTGTGTGAGATAAGCAGTCTTGCAAATCAGGACCGCAGCTACTGCTGCGGCATGGTGCCACTGACTCCTCTCCAAACATCTATGAGCAAGCCCATGGGGCCACAGAACAAGCACACATTAGGGGACTTTCCCCACCAGGATATCCAGTGGTCCCCTAGATCCTCCAAGACTGACAGTCATTTGTTACTGTTACCAAGAAATATCCAGACCCTGCCCACCAGTATTCATGTACCACCTCCTTGCAAATTTGCCAAGGGTTCCAGAAGAAAGAGAATGCTGCAGCTTTGTACAGCAGAGAGGTGTGCAACAGGAATGCATTAGAAATTCAACTCTTTTCACCAAAGTATTGGTTCACAGTGGAAGCTCTGTGCAGCAACAAACACTGAAGCCCAGAAACAAATGCAGAGGCCCAGCCCTAACTCTCCTCTCAGTCTCTCTCCAATTCTCCAACATCCCACCCCCTTAAGTCAGTCTCCTGATTTGGAGCCAGCCTTCTTTTGCACATTATGCACAGGGTTTCTCTCTCTGCCATGATATCACCACTATGCTCTCCAGCCACCTTTGCCTCTGGTCCCACTGAGCCCTTTCCAGATCTCATTGCCTTTTGAGGTTGCTGTATGTGGACTTAACCCACTCCTAGCCGCCCAGTGTCCTTGACTCCCCTCAGCTGTTACGGTCCAGGCAAGAGAAGATGGCAGCCTGGGCCAGGGGAGTAGACTAGGCATCCTCAAACTACAGCCCGCAGGCCACATGCAGGCCACCTAGCATATTTATCCGGCCTGTGGGTGTTTTTGCCGCAGCTGCCTGTCCTGCTTAGCAGCCAACTCATCCCGGGCCCACAGTGTGCACTCTCCAATGCTCGGAGGGACGGTGAACTGGCCCCCTGTTTAAAACATTTGAGGACCCCTAGAGTAGACAGTAGCAGCAAGATATGAAAGAAGTAACTGCACTTGTGAGATATTTAAGGAAAATCTGCATTATTTGGTGACAGTTTAGATGTGGGGTATGAAAGAGGGAAATTTTAAGAATGACTCCCAGGTCTCTGGTTTCCCCAGCAAGGTGAGAGGGGCAAGTTGCTGCCAGGAGAATGGATCTGGGAGGCAAATCCTGAGTTCAGTTTTGGACTATGGGACATTCTAGTGGTTATATTGAGCAAGCTGCTGGATATGCAACTAGTGACCTCAGACGAGAACTCTTGGTGGAAATACAACTTTAATAGTCTTAAGCATATAAAACCTACATATATTAACCATGAACCATTTTTAATATTAAATGGCAATCAGCATTACCTAAAATGAGATAAGAGAATACAGCTAACTTCTAAGCATAAACAAAAAGGCCATCTATAATATAATTCTCTTAGATCTAACATTGCTATCAATGCATGAGTCTAGTGTAGAGAGATGGGGACTCAACAGAAGTTTGCTGAATAAACACAGAGGTAAGGCATCTGTAGAGAATGAGAGACTGTCAATTCCTTAAGAAGTCCCTCTACCTCAAAGCAGGCCAAACACACCAACTGGAGTATAACTGTCTATGAGGGGGCCTGGGTCAATTCAATTGAACGCTCACTGTGTTCCCCAACCACCACCACGTGTAAGCTCGTGATGCAGAGATGAACACGACTCAGTCCCCACTCTCTAGGATCTTACAGTTTAATTAAAAGGATGAGAGGGTTACAAACAACTGTGCAAACAGCAGAATGCAAAAACTGCTATTTATAGAGGTAGAAATAAAATTTGAGGGGCAGGAGAAAGTAGGTGAATGTGACAATTGACTTTACCGTATGGATGGTGAGGCTGAGGTCTACAGGCAGTAATATGGAGTGCAGATATTTTAGGCGCTGGAAATTTTATGAGGAAAGGAAAGGGAATGACTGGGTAGAAGATCCATCTAGAAAATGGCAATGCAACTGTTTGCTTGGGATATGGGCAGCATGGAGGACCCGCAGTGAAGCTGGGATCGTGTAAGGCCTTCAATGTCTTGGCAAGGAGTCAGAAAGTTATGTTAAGATATAACTCAATGAGGTGTCACTGAGTTTTTAAAGGAGAGGAGAGGTGTGATCAGGATCATGGGCTATAGCAGAACAATCTCATCTGCATTCAACTACTAGAGAGAGGGTAGCTCATGGGGAAAAGCTAAAAGGGAAAGGCCATGGAGAAGTCAAATTGGATAATTCCAAGAAACACCTAAAGGAGAAACTACAGCCCCTTACCACTGATAGCTTTTACTTGTGTGTTGGACTACAAAAGACACAGTGGCCACATTTCAGTCCCTCAACAGTACCAACACATCTGCAAATCAACAGCAGTTTAATTGTCCTCGTGTCCGAGAATCACACCACAAGCTTCCCTAGACCACCTCAGAAAGACAGGCGAGGCCCAGACTGGGAAGTGAGGTGATCTGGATTATAATAATAAATATTTATCTTCCCTAGACAAGCCCTCCTTAACCTCAAACTGGGTTTGGCGCCCTCTCCCACTATTCATTCTGCAGCACCCTGTAACTTTCAATTGTTGCATTTTCCTGCATGTAATAAGATGAAGATTTGCTTCCTTATTTGTGTTTCGACAATCTTCCTTCCCAAACCGTAAACTCCCTGAGAACTAACACCCTTTCTCTCTTGATCTCTGCTGAAAATACAGGTGCCTAGATCTATGCTAGGCTCATAAGTACAAAATAGAACAATAATAACTCATAAGTCTGCTGGGAGTTATTTTAGTCAGTAAATATAAACTGAGTGCCCTCCCATGCAGCAGGCACAGGCATGAGGCAGTCATGGGCCACAGAAAGCCCCTGTAACCAAGAAGGTGAGCACCTTTCTTTTTCTTCTTTTTTTTTTTTTTTGGAGACAGAGTCTCACTCTGTTGCCCAGGGTAGAGTGAGTGCTGTGGCATCAGCCTAGCTCACAGCAACCTCAACCTCCTGGGCTCAAGCAATCCTTCTGCCTCAGTCTCCTGAGTAGCTGGGACTACAGGCAGGTGCCACCATGCCCAGCCAATTTTTTCTATATATGTTTAATTGGCCAATTAATTTGTTTCTATTTTTAGTAGAGACCGGATCTGGCTCTTGCTCAGACTGGTTTCGAACTCCTGACCTCGAGCAATCTGCCCGCCTTGGCCTCCCAGAGTGCTAGGATTACAGGTGTGAGCCACCGCGCCTGGCCAAGCACCTTTCCTCTTGTTGCTATTCATGATATAGCAACCACCAATGGTTTCCCTTCCCTGGCCAGGTAATACACTTTATATTTATAGATAAGTACATATATTTTATTCTCTCATTTAAGTCTCACACTAACCCTGCAGAGTAGTTATCACGTCTACTTTAGATGAAGAAACTGATACTCAGGTGAAGTAACTTGTTCGAGCCACACAGGTGAAAAGCAGTGTGTCTGGGATTTGATCCAAGGCATTCCGGGCTGCAAAGCTCAGATGTCCCACTACACCAGTGGGTCTCAAGGGCATTATTTGTCTCCGCCTCTGTATCTTTCACACACGACACTCAGGGGATGAAACTGGGACCAATTCTGAATCACAGTGCATGCTGGGGGAAAGGACTGAACTCCTGATAGAGATTCTGACACCTGCCTTCCCTCCTCCCCAGCACACATACCTGCAGCATACCATTCTCCTCCCTGGAAGAGAACAGTGCTTCATAAAGCTAAGCACTATTATAATCTTAAATACTGGCCTCCCTCAATTCTTAGACTTAAAAGAAGCTCCTATTAGAAGTGGATAAAGGTTTTAAGTGCAGAAGAAGACCCAGTGTGAGAAGTATGCTTATATACGGAGGCAGTATATACTTCAGGTCTTAGAAAGTTCTTATGTGTGTTTCAGGTGGATGTGTCTTTCAAGCACATTCTATTTCTTTTCCCAATTCTTTTTTTTTTTCCTCCAGGCATGAAGGAAGTAACTCTTCCTAACTCTTTCCCCTAATTCAGCCTCAAGAATTCTACCTCTTTCAGACTAACACCAGGTATCGTGGAGATCAAAGTCAGTGGTCAAGGCCAAAAGCAATATTTGGCAGATATTATGAGGGAGAATTTAGAAAGATGATAGCAGTAAAATGGACAGTGGGATGGAAGAATACAAAAAAAAAAATTAAGAACAGTGATCTATGGGCATACTAGCAAATTTAAAAAAGAGAATTATAAAATATTTTGTATTAAGGAGTTCTCTTTTAAACACCCCCTGAATATCTAGCTTATGACTTATAATAAAAGATTTCTACTTTTCTTGAGATTTTTAACTTCTGATTCTTTTTAAATCTACAACCTACAAGACAATCTTTTAGAGATTGGTATCATCAAAGCATCTTGTGAGAGTAACTATTGACTACATGTCAAAGAATTACATAAAACTACCACTGTGGAAACTGAAATAAGAAACAATGTTTACATTTGATAGCATAATGTGACTATAATCAACTATAAGTTAGGGTACACTTTAAAATAACTAAAAGTTGGGATTTGGAATGTTCCTAACACAAAGAAATGATAAATGCCTGAGGTAATGGATACACCAATTACCATGATTTGATTAATTCACACTATATACCTGTATCAAAAAATCACATGTACCCTATAAAGATACACCACTGTTACGTACCCTTAAGAATTAAAAATAGAAAAGTAAAAAAATTTTAATTAAAATAAACAATGTTCTCTGAAGTGATTCACTAGTAAAGAGAGGAAAAGAAGAGAAATGCATCACTCAGGATTTCATAAGTACTTTACATTGCTTTACTATTAATTTAGAATTATTACAGATGAGCAAATAAGAGCAATGGGTAATTCAAAAGCCATGTTAATCTTCTGGCTTTACAGTTTGGGTTAAATACTCAGTAACTACCTACCATATTTGCTGAGGGGATCTTGGAGTTATTTATTAAACCATATTAGACATAAAATACTTGACCAGCTTAACTGGGGGTAAAAGACACCATTTATCATAATGATGAATAGCAGAGACTCAAGCAGGGCCTAGGGAGGGATCCGTTCTTGGCTCTGCTACTGTGACTCTTGGCAGTGTCTCAGAATAATTTGGTTTCAACTTAAGCTTCTGCATCTAAACAAGCTAGAGGCTACCATCTGATGTACATCTCTTGCAATTTTATCAGGATTTTAAATATAACAATGACTTCACATTGGCCATGTGCCTTACACTTGATCTAAGCATCAGCTGACTCGGTTGGTTAGAGAGACCATTCAATGAACCAGGCATGGGGAGTCCCGCACCTAACACAGAAGGTATTCAATAAAACCACATCTCCTTCCTTAGAGCACAATGCTAAATAAATATAGGTTACAGTTCAGGGCAAACTGACTTTTTCCATAATCACTGAATATACCTCTAAGCCTCAAAACCATCTCACAATTCCATGTCATCAGTCATAAGGGAAAGAAAGCAGTTTATGTGTTGCAGATGTAGGTATATGTGTATACAACAAATACATAGATGTATGTGTTTATGCATAAACTCTCAATCCATTGTTCCCAGCAAGCTCACCCAGCCTGCTGAGGGTGGGCTGGAGTACCATCTCTGGACACGAAAGACTGCACAATACCTGGCCAACCACAGGGTGAACCTAAGGCAAAAGCTCTCCTTGGTCAGGGGCAGTTTCCCACCTACTGCTAGGTCTTTGCTTACTAGGCCTCTCCTGCTTCCCCTTGAGATTATGTGATCAAATTCTCTGTTCTTGACAGTGATCACTCAAATATGGCTTTTTGGTAGACTCTTTCTGTAGGATGATATGGTTTCTTAAAAAAAAATAAATAAAGACACACTAGAGGACGATTAGAAAGAAGAGAACGAAGGGGAAGCGTGACGAGGACGATTAGAAAGAAGAGAACGAAGGGGAAGCGTGACAAGCAGTAGGGCTGCTCAAGACACAGGAGAAGAGCTCCTCTACCTGCAAGGCCAGCCGTACGATACTGGACGTGTAGGTCAGCATGCCGTGCAAAATGTCAAGCAGGGAAAACAGCAGTGCGGCCGCCATCTCATTGTTGTTTTTACTGTTCATATCCAAGCACAGCGTGGCAGTTTCAGTGAACAGGTTACAGACATGAGTGACAAGTCCTGAGGGTAAAAAAAGGAGAAGGGAAAAAATACTCATCACGAATTATAAAAATAATATGTCGTATGGAGAGGCATTCTTACCCTGTGTTGCATAAACCCTAAGCAGTGCTTAAACTGTATTCTTACCAGACTCACTGGGGAAAGTTGTTTAAAATGCAGGTTTCCAGGCCTCGCTCCCAGAGAGTCTGCTCAGCAGCCTGGGATATGGTCTGGGAATATCCTTGTTAGAGAAGTTTCCCAAGTGATTTTGATGCAAGGGTTCCCCAAAACCACACTTTGAGAAATACAATCCTACAGAAGTAGGCTTCACAGGGTCTGAGGACTCCCTGACATTGAAGGAAAATATTTAGTATTTGGGGATGAATATGCTGTTCCCAAATTTGTAGGCAGCATTCTTCAGTGTATGAATCAGGGACGATGGCTGACCCAGTGGTCTGGTCTCTCAAGGGGTTTACAAGTAACCGAGTAGTTCAAGAGCATAAAGCAATGAAGCAATTTTTTTCTTGTGTATTTCAAAATTGTCAGATTGTAATTTTTAAAAATTTAAAACTTAGAAATTTCCAGGTTTTATCATTTTGTCCGTACACTTGTACCCCCATAATATGCTAAAGTAAATATACCAAAAAAAAAAAAAAAGGATGATAACAACAACAACAACAAAAAAACAGTGCAGTTGGTCTTCACTAACTTTTAGTTAGATATGCTCTGTCATGACAAATATATTTTCACATTTGGGGGGCATTACTGTTTACATCTGGATCGATATTTTTATTGTTACTATTATATAGCATTACCTTTGAATTCACAAAAACTAAATACAAAAAAAGTAAAGATACAACATGAAATAATATTATAAACCTAAATGATGAATGGGACCTTTAGCATCAGTAGTGCATGAATCCAAATGTTTCAAAAAGAAAAGTAAATCTTCAAAGATAAATATTTTACACAAGCAGATGGGGGGAGAAGCATGGTAAGGAAGTCTGACGTATATTAAAAGTTGGATTTTACTGGACCTGCAATTCACTTGTCCCTAGTCCCCAACCACAGACATTCAACCTATTTAGCATGTCTTCCATGCAGTGCACTTCCAGCAAACCAATCTAGTTTTCCCAACAATTGCAAAATAATTCTTAGACCGCAAAAGTGACTAACTTTGTCACTAAAGGCAGAGATACGCCAAAATTACAGAGGCATCATCATCCAAAGCTCTACTCCTTGTGACAAAAACAGGTATAAGTCACAGAGCTGCTAAGATGTCTTAAATAAAAACAAACAAACAAACAAACAAAACAAAAAAAACCCCGAGTTTCAAGGCTGAAGATAAATATACTTGAAGAAACAGTAGAATGAATCGTTGTCACAATTTCTTTGCCAAATGACGAGGTCTGATAGCACGTATCATCTGTGACACCCAGTGCAGAAAAGTAATTATTACAAGCATGTGTGTTGCACCACCAAGCATTTTCCTTAGAGCTGCGATCCATCACCCATGTGCATGTTATGAATCAACACTTGGCATCTATGAGCTGTAGAGAGGGCAGAAGGGCTTAAAAGCACAGTACTTAGTAAATACATGCTGCAAGAGATGTTTTCCTTTTGGGGCTCCTGCTGACTTTGTGACACATCATGGAGGTGAAAGGTGAAGGAGTGAGTAGGAGTACTGGTGAAGTCCAGCCCTGTGAGCAGCAGCAAAGGACCTGGCTCTTCAGGGGGCAGAGGTGGGCCCTTGAGTACAGCTGCTTAATCCAGAGTAAACAGCTGGCGGGCAGCGATGTTCTTCCTGATCTTCATTCAGTCTTCAAGGAAGGAGTGCAAAGGATGAACGCAATCAAACCCTTGCTGCTAGGCTGTGGAAACAGCCCAAGTGCCCATCAATCCAAGAATGGATTAATAAAATGTGGTATGTATACCATGGAGTACTTAAGCTCTAAGAAACAATGGTGATATAGCACACTTATATTTCCTGGTTAGAGCTGGAACCCATACTACTAAGTGAAATATCCCAAGAATGGAAAACAGCACCAGATATATTCTCCAGCAAACGGGTATTAACTGAGTAGCACTAAGTGGACACATAGGACTACAGTAATAGGGTATTGGCAGGTGGGAGGGGGCGGGTATATACATACATAATGAGTAGTGTGCACATCTAGGGATGGTCATGATGGAGACTCAGACTTGTTGGGGGGAGAATGGGCATTTATGAACCTTAAAATCTGTACCCCCATAATATGCCGAAATAAAAAAAAAAAAAACCCTTGCTGGTAAGGAAAGTCTTTCCAGCCTGCTATGCAAAGAGCAGGCAACAAACACCAAACTCCGATTTTACACACTGAAGGCACCAGCTCCCAAGGGAGGGTCAGATAAGATCAGAAATAAAGTATGAGATAACACGGATAATGCCACAAAAACCCATTAAACATGATTTTAAGTGGCCTATCTCAGTCATACTTTCAATATTCTTTATAGCTAGAACTTTCACTTCAGGGTCAAAATGCATGTTTTTCATTTTTGAATTTTTATTATGAAAAAAAAAAGTTATGAGACACTTCTGTAAAATGATCCTCCATTATCTTCTTCAACAATTATCAACATGTTGTCTGTCTTATCTTTTTAAAAAATATTTAAACAAATACCAGATATCATCTTATTTCTCCTATAAACTCTTCTGTATAGTCTAACAGATGAAGACTCTTAATTACAATGCCACTGCCATTTAATAAAATCAACATATTTCTTCATATAGTCCTCAACTGTCTTAAAACTCTTTTTCTTTACAATTAGTTTGAATCAGTATGCAAATCAGGTCTACACATTCCATTTGGCTGTGGAGCTTAAGTCTCCTTTAATATCTAATAATCCTTCCCCCCACACACACACACTATTTCTGTGCCATTTATTTTTTGGAGAAATTAGGACATCTTTCTTGCAGATTTTCTCATAGCATTGTTCCTATATCTCTGTATTTCCCATAAACTTGTAATCAGGTCCAGAGACTCAATTTAATTCAGGTTCCATTCCTCTGGCAATAATACTTGGCGCTGGGTGCTCTGTATTTCTTGCTGTATCTTATCTGGAAAGATAGGCCATTTGTCTTGGTGATATTAAAACTGACCTATGGATTCGGGATTATCAACCTACACTATCCATTAAGAAGCTCCCCATCTAATGGTGTCTACTAATACTAATGATCATTGTCTAGCCCTATTATTTCATTACATATGGTAAGATGGAGATTTTTATCAAATTCTATCATTCCTTCTGCATACTCTAAGCTGTTTTTCTTCCATAAAGAACCATCTCTTGTCAGCTACTTGGCTATCATATAATATGGTTTGAAAATGAAAAGTAAGATAAAATGCTTATTCTTTCCTGCCATTTACTAGTTTTCAGAACAATGATTTTAGAGTGTTAGCAACTACCAAAGTTGACCAAGGTGGGGGGGAGGCAGTGCTGGGGAGAGGAATCTAGAAACTACCAAAAATTACTCATGAGTTCATTTTAGAGCATCACTGTGAACATAATTAGTTTTTCAAATAATATATTTTATGGGTTTCAATTGTTAGTCTTTTTTATGCTCAACATGTCCCATCTTGGCCACTGAGAACCTCTTGAAAGTGTCCTTGCTTCTGCTATAATATGCCTCAAGTTTATCTTATAGAATTTCTGCCTCAGACTGGGCATTAGCTACTTCTCCAAGGAGGTAGGGATGGGTGTGGATATGTGTGTGTGTGTGTGTGTGTGTGTGTGTGTTTGTTTTAATTAGAATAGGTGTTTAGAGACTGTAATCTGAGCACTAGGGATGCTCACTGCTACTGGGTCATTGACTCAGTGAACAGAGATAAGAAGTATATACCACTTTAAGAAAAATAATGAGTTCATGCAGGTATTTCCAATGCCAGAGTCTAGAAATGGACCCCCAATATATGGCCAAATGAATTTCAACAAGGGAATTCTTTAGAAAAAAGAGATTCTTTTCAACAAAAAAAGCATGGAAAAACTGAGTATTCATATGGGAGAAAAAGAAAGATCCTTGACCATTACCTTGCACAAATTAATTTCAGATAAATCATAGACTGACACATAAAAAGCTAAAAGGTTCTAGAGAAAATGTAAGAGAAGATCTTTGCAACTAAGAGATAGGCAAGATTTCTTAAGAGTGAAAAGACCTAATCATTTAAAAAATGGATAAATTAGACATCATCAAAAATTAAAACTTTTGTAAATCAAAGGACACTGATATTAAGAAAACAAATAGGGAAGTCCATGACTAGGATAAAATATTCACTATTTATATATATAATTATATATATATATAACAAAAATTATATCTGGAATATATAAACGATTCCTAGAACTTAATAATAAAAAGACAAATAATCCGATTTTAAAAATGGGTAAAGGGCTTGGTCAGTTCACAAAAGATGTATCAACAGGTCAATAAACAAATGAAAAGTGTTCAGCCTCACCAGTCACCAGGGAAATGCAAATTAAAATCACAATGAGATACCACTAGACATAAACAGAAATAATTGCAATGAAAAAAACCCAACACTAAATGTTGATAATAATGTGAAGCAACCAGAACTCATATACATTATGAATGAGAAAGCTGTTGGCAGTTTTATTTTAAATAAATTTAAATATACATTTACCATATTATCTAAGCAATTCTACTCCTAGGTATTTATCCAAGTAAAATAAAAACCTATGTCCACATAAAGAATCACTGGAGTTTCATTAGAGCTATTTATCAAAATAGCTGCAAACTAGAAACATCCCAAGCGTCCATCAAGAGGAGAACTGAGACATAATCCCTCAATGGAATACTATTCCACTATATAAAGAAATCAATGACTGACTCCTACAACAACATGGATGAATCTCAAAACCGATGCTGAGAGATAGATCTTAGAAATAAAACTGTATGAATTGAGTCATATGAATACATTTATTTGAAGTTCTAAAGAAAACTTGTCTCTGTTAATTGAGATTAG